CCTGATGTTCACATTACACGGATATTTTTATCTACCTAATGTTGTAATTTCCTTTTGTACGTTCTATTAATTATAAAATTAATTAAGGTTAGCGTGAATTAACACGTTCATGTAACTGGCCCTCTTTGGGGTCGATGACTTTAGTCCATCTTCTTTTATATAGCACTTGTAAAGGGTATCCTGCAGTAACGCGACGTAATGTCTCTTTAACCAATTTAAAGTCCATTTTTCTCCAAGAAAAATACCGAGGAAGATTATCAATTATCACCCAGATTCAATATTGTATTATCTTTAAAATAAATATTGTATATATCTTTAAAATAAAATCTAAAACTAATATCCTGTTGTTTTCATAAATGTTTCATTTCTCTTCATTAGCTTTCCTAACCATTCGAGCGATTAATACTTCCAATTATCCCGTGTCAAACTAATCAAAGAGATCATTAAAAAAATTTCTATACGTGAGCAGCCAAACTCTCTAAACACACAGAGAGAAATTTCTCTTAGAATTTACCCGACAATTATGGTAATCGTAAGACAATATGGTAGTGGAGGAATTATATAAGAGTTTCTCTGATAAAATATTTACCACAATGAAAAATATTAAAATATATATATAGTAAAATTAATCAAACATATTTTATTGTGGTAAATATTTAATGTCTTCAGCTATATACGCGAAATATAATGTAGCCATTGGATTCGATTTTCGGACAACCATCTATTGGTCTAATCTATGTGTAAGTCTTTCTGACGTTTCCTTGAACTTCGCAAAATCTTTCTAATGCACGAAGAGAATTTTCTCTTCGAATTTAGCCTGAAAATCTGAAGAGTTTCTCATCTCTGATTAATATGTACCACAATAAAAATATTAATATGTACATAGTAAAATAAAGCGAACGTATCGTAATAGATATTAATTTTTATTTGAACTATTATAATTTTCAGGCTAAATTCTATGCAAAAATTTTCTCCACGCGACACCTCCTTGACTAAGAGTTGACTACTCACTCCGATACATCGCTATTACCGTGAGCGCGTTTAGTCGCGAGGCGTCGCATCAACTTAGGTCGTCGATCAAGACGAACCTAAGTAAAACGACCTTGCACAAACAACAGCGACGGGGTCGACGACCGCTCGGTATAAAGCTCGCAAGATGCAACCGGCAGCGCCTTTCTACAGCCTTGACTGCAACCTCGAGCACTCCTCGAGCCGCCAACCTCGTCACGTGTGCATCCTGTGACGTGTGTCACTGTCCCTCTTCGCTGCAAACGATCGCGAATGCGTTGGACAACTAAGGTAAATTAGCTGAATATTTTTCGCGGAATGAAACGTACACGCGCATGTGTCTATTGTACGTCCGCTTGCTAATTATCGCTTTCCTGCGAGCGCTGCTCTAGCTTGACCCTTTAATTCTGCGTACGAGAGCGATATATAATACAACACGCTTCGCTCTACAATGGGAAACTTTATGCAGAACAACGTTGTTGAACGCAGTAAAATGGTAACAATATACGCTACACTGGTATTTATGATTCATGCCATACTGATCCTTTGTTATTTCGATCTTTCTCTGTACACGCATTTTTCTCTCCCCTATCTCTCTCGCGTATCTCTATTAATTAAGTTCATAATATTCATTAAATAAATATTTATGAAAATAAATTACTGTAACCGATCGTGCTTTATAATATATTTTGTTGCCATAATAATGTTAAATAATATAATTTACAATTGTAATTCAATCATTAGGAAAAGATTTAATATTTACGTGTTGCATCAATGCAATTTGCGTTTAATTAGCAGATAAATAATTAGATGTAATTAAATATACAGCACGCGAAAGAGATATATATGTATATATGTATATCGGAATTCAATGCGACTGTAATCAGAAATTCCGGTACTGCATCAATCAAATCTCGATGACTTTTTAATTTATGAAAATGCAAACTTTCACGTGTTAGACATTACTCGATGAAAGGTTTATCGTTCGAAATGACGCAACTATAGCCTGGTGTTTTCCCCAGAAACAAATTCACGATTTTACTTTTATCTCTGTAACATATAATTGAATAATTTCACTATATATGTATATATAAATTATCTCCATCAATTAAACGTCACAGAAATATTTGTAATAATCATCACGACAATTATTCGATATTTTATCCTCCGCATATTTTATCATTATTCGATATTTTTCGCATGATAATATATTGACATTTTCAATATTAACAAAAATATCGGATAATATATAGCTTCTTCATACTTCGAGATTGCAAACAAAAGTATAATAATATCCTACTCAAATTCAAGCGTTTCACCTATAAATTTTCGGTTCACAGAGGTTCACGAGGTTCAAAAGTCGTTGTACTTCCGCAAGACCATCGATTCATGAATGATGAGGACTGACTCCTTTATCTCCGTGAAGCGGCGTAAAAAAATGTGGTCCTAACGGGAGTATTTAACTGCGAAGCGAAGTGCCTGTCCACACGCGAACGTATGACGCGAACGGATGTCGGACTGAATTGGCGCAATGACCATAACCGGGGTCCAACGCGTAACGAATATGCGACCCTTTTTTTCTTCACCTACTGCTAAGACAGCAAGATTTGCAAAGTTTAAAAATCAGACTTTTTTGTCTACGTTTCGCTAACTCATGACAATCATGACTCAGGAAGAACCGTATATTTCAGTGGTACGAATAAGTGAATAGATTCTATATATAATTTCTATAATTAAATATGTTTGAAAACTTCAATATAAAATTATAAAAGAAATATTAATTGTGTTTTGTGTTTACACACATCAATTGATAATTATTTGATATTCTTTCATATAAATTATTATTAATACAAATTAGTACAAATTTTAAATACAATTTCGAAGCATTCAAACAATATTTATGCATATTTATGAAAGCTTTCGAGCAATTCGAATCTTTCAATATCTATTAGAGAAACTATTGACCGCATATTTTATCAATATCCTGTTTAAAATTTTATGCTGACGATGAACCACTCTGTATATGATGAGATGCATTTACACTCTGCATATATGTATATGCCTGTATTTATGATTCAAACACATTTGCGTATCCTTTCCTGTGACAAAAAATATCTGCATACTTTAATGTTGCTTTTACGTATGACGCGAACGGATGTCGGAGTATCTTTAAAACATGCTCATAGTATCTTTAAAACATGTTAATAATATATTGCATTTTTGATTCGCGTTGCATCCCGGATAATAAAATCATAATAATGCATCTTATTATGTGACCTCACTTCCTCGCTTCTATAACCGCGATATCGCCATATTTTTCTAGTTCATCAATCAACTTTAATTCGACAGTGTTGAAATGGATTTATCGGTGAGAATAATTTAATTTCACACGAATCTTTCAAGTGAAGACGTCCTAGAAAAATCTGAAAATGTTTACTATAATTCTATTTGAAGAATGTTTGCAAATAAATTCTGCGACAATTATATTAATGTGATTGCTTATCTCGTGTTGTACTATTTAATTAACATATCATTAAAATAAAGAAATTACCGCAAAGTAATTAGTATTAAAAATTATTTAAATTTATCCTCGTTGAGAAATTTAAAATCTACGTCATTTTTTAGCATTCAGATAATTCAGATATATATTATGACTTTCCTCGTATATATCTTAAACACGACAAAAATATGTTCCATTATCCATAAAATATCTGTTTTACTTACGGTGAAATCGCGAGAGAATCAGAATCAAATATTTCCCTAACGAAATGCAGTTTTCGCGCGAGTAATAAATTGCTTAAACGTTAAGGGAAAAATATAAGCGGAGCGCGAGGAAAACCGGGAAATTTATAATTCCCGTCCGACTGATCCTTTCTTTATGAGTATAAACTTATCATTCCTTCGGAGGTGGCGGTAAGTTTCACGTAACCGCGAAAAAGTAACGCCATGGCTGCGCTATACATCAAGGCGCGCCAACAAAGAGCGTTAATAACGTCGCGCGGGAATTGCGCGGGTTTCTCGTTCGCATTCCTCCTCGTCCGTTTGCTTCTTTTCTTACTCATCGCTCCCAACATATATATGTACGTGCTTGGCAAAGCTGATCTTTTTCTTCTCGCGTGGATTCGCACGTGGCTATACGTATACATATATCGAGATGCTAGTCATGTTTTTGCGCGCGAAGGACAAAATAAAGTGTGCTTTTATGATCGTTTTTCTCGGATCCTTGGAAAAAAGAAATAATGGCCAACAATTGTAACAATATAAAAATTTAATGAGAAATTTTATATAATAAGAAAAAAAATATATATTTATAAATTCTCAAACAAAATAAAAAAAGCATTTAAAAACAATTTACTCTTATGTAAATGATTTACGTGGGTTATTTGTATTGTATAAATAAGAATAAAAAAATAAATTGTTCAAATTCAGTTCCGATATCTCTAAGTTCTGCATATCGATTATTTTGAAATGAATGTTTAAGGAAAACGAATGACAGCTCGGTATTTTTTTCAGTCAATGAATAATAATGCTGACGACAACGAATAATGTTATTATTTTTGCAATATAAAAGCGAGACTTTAAAATGTTATGTAAACATCAACAATTAGCAGTACCGCGCACTTGTGACTTTTTGTAAGAAACCACTTTGTAAAAAGCTGTTGCAGCAACATCGCACGTGTAACCACACACGACATTCTAATTAATTAAAATTATTCACTATTAAGCATAAATATAACATTTAACTCCCTGTTATAATTCTTACAAATTACGTCGAATCAAATCATATTTACCTTTAACACAATGCATAAAAATTACAAATAAAAAAAAAGCAAAAAATAAGACAATAACATTCAAGAATAAAATATAATAAAAAATGTAAATTGACGTTCGATGTAAGGAATCGGGGGAATGAATACTTCGAAAGTCGCTCCAAAATCGAATCAAGATCTCGCTCGAGAAAGAATCGCGAATGCGAGCAAACAAATACATACCGAGTGGAGTTCTCGCTGGCTAGCTGCGACTTCTCGGTGTGAAATGGGGTACCAAATGTCATGACAGAGCAAGCAGGCTGCGGCCGTCTCTGTTTGTCCCTGATAGTGTCCTTATCAGCGGTCCGGCCGCCGAATAGCTCGACTAGTCAGCTGATCGCGCGATGCTTCATCGCTTCGGTCAGCGTGCGCATAACAGCGGTTGGAATTTTCTCGAGTATCGCCCGACTAGCCTTCTCCTGCTCCCACGCAACAATCGGCACTTTTGTTCACTCGCTTGGGATCTACGAGTCTTCGAGAATAATCGAAATCGTACACGCCTCTTCCTATCGGCCTCCTATCGCCGACTTGATATACCGAAGTAACTACAATCTAACGTTTCGTTGCGAACACTCGTAACTCTCCGGGAGAAGAATATAATATCTCCGGACACGTCCCTTTCGTGACGTTTCTACGGAAAATAAGCACTCGAAGCGTCCTCGTTGAAATCGGGAAGCAGAATGGAGATGGTCTGCTCGCAACTGATGTGGGACAGTTGCGCGAGAAGACACGAGAGGCGGAGACCACGTCTGATCGTGGTAATAACGGTATATTGCGAGGAGGCGTCCCCCGGAGGAGATTTACCAAAGTGAGCAGGCGAGGTGCAACGACCGGCTTGATATCGCGTTCGCTGCTGCTGTTGCGAGACTCGTCTTGTATATGTGCTGGATGTACGCGGGGGCGGATGCGCGTTGATTTCGTGCCGGATATGAAATTTACAAATATTCGTTTTAGCTCGCGTGTCGCGAACCTGGAGTATTTAACTCCGCGGCCGTCAGCTAATTCTGCTCCGACTTGTGTTTATTTCTTGTCTCGTGTCGAACACGCGTTGCTGTTCGACAGCATGCTGCTCCTCGAAAAATAAACTATTCCTTTTTTCAACTTGGAACTGCTGTCTGCGCACAATTAATCCGCCCCACTAATTGGCCCTGTTGAATATCGGAGATTGGCCGGTCTTGATAGATCTCGGGGCTTAAAGTTAGGTTGCAATTCGAAATTTTCTCTCAGTCTAGATTTCGTGAACGGAGAGCGTTAATTCCGGAACCCTTCAAGCTCTCGATCTCTATCTCTCGACGAGATATGATGTTCTTCAAACTATTACACAGCTATCATTCAAATCTCTCACGGAATACTCTCTCGATGTCTCGCGGGATATCTGTCTATCCCTATCGAGGGCACTACAGAGCACACAGTTTCTCTACCCACGCCGCTGAAACGTCAACGCGTATTTCCGATATATTCGGGTCGTTATTCGAAGACCGCGTCGTCGCAATAATCCGCCGATGACAGGACGTCGGGATGTCAACGTGCTGTGTATATATATCCCGTGGTGTCGTCTCTCCGGAAACTGCGCGAACTATATAACCATCGGCTTTTCACCTGCCGCTTGGTCCACGGCGCTCGCGGACGTTCTCTCACCAGAGTAACGATCGCGCGCACACACAAGAGAGAGAGTGAGCGAGAGAGAGAAGAGGAAAGGGAAGAGGAGAGAACCTCCGAGAGAGCGGGATCGACCGACCGCGGCCGAAGTGCAGCGAAGAAGACTGGCTGGCGCAAGGGCTTTTGTACCAACACCGGCAGCACGCAACTAGCTCGCGTCGCGCCTGGCAGCCGACTGACTCCGACGAGAGAGGATGCGATGCCGGGCGACGTGGCTCTGACGCCGTTGCTGCTGCTGCCGCTACCACCTCCTTGCACCTCCGCGCACCACCCGTAGCGTCGTCGTCATCATCGCCATCGACATTGCCACCCCCGCGGCGCAACAACGCTAGATGTGTCGCAGTGCTGTGTCGGTTGGTACCTTCAACCCTCTCCGACCGCCTCGAACCAGCGAGGAAACACGTGTCGCAGACTAGATCAAGTGGACGGGCGTGAACCGCAAAACGGGGGTACGTCATCATCGTGGTTCCCGGTCAGGTATTTCGGAACGCGTCGATTTTAGCCCTCCGTATTTTAAAATAACTTTTTGAGTACGACTGGTATACCTATCATCGCACGCAGTATCTCACCTCGTCTCATGATGTCATTTTAATGTTAACTGATCTATCATTCGTTTTATAAGCTGAAGGATCTTATTGTTAGCTGTTGCAGTTTAAGGCATTTTCATCGAAAGATGAATAATAGCCTTAAAGTTAAATAATAGAGAATTACTGAGTTACAACTAGCAAAAACCAGTAACCACTTATTATTTAGCTTTCAACCTATTATATTTTTGTTTAGCAAGTCATAAAAGATGATTTTTTGTCAAAATTTAAAAGTGGTTTCTCATATAAACATATATTTTTATATTTTCTCTGAAGAGTTACACTTTTCTAAAGAGAGAGGTAAAAATTAAGTTTCATTTTTTAAATTTATTATATATTAGGTAGGGTATATTATAAGAAACTCCCCTTAATTTTCGACAAAGCATCATCTAAAATTGTTCGCACTTATTTAGATTGAAATACATCCTGTATAAATAAATTTCGGCTTTATCAGTATTAATAATTGTGCATAAGAAATTATTATGTTGTCGGAATGTAAGGTATACACCGACGTGTATATACTCGTAATAAAACGGTTTACGAGCATGGACATTAGTACGTGATCAAACCCCTCCCGTATACCATCCCGGACATAATGATGCGAGCATACTGGGTTTACGGATGCAACAACGACGTCATCGGAATAAGTGAACACCTGTTTGCTGTATAATAGCAACACTGTCGGTCGCAAAGCTTTCATACATGCATGGAAATGCTGATATATCGCGTCCACGGCGTTTGAATGAAAATAAGTTGCGCCTGTGGGATGAAAATATAAAACGCGTCCGCGGTAACTTTGTCGATGCTAACGCCATTTCTCGATACTTATTATTTCATCCGTGCCGGACATAACTTACTTTATGTCCAAGCTCATTGACAATGAATGAGCATTGCTCTGCAATGCAGAAAGAATTGATGTTCTGGTGACGTCATTATTTTGACGTCAGTGTGACTCGTTAATTCAAATTTATTTGTAAATTAAACACAGGGGATATATTAAAAAATTCTTTGCGTACTTTCAATTACAGAATAATACAATAAAAAAATAAAAATGTATCATTAAGAGAGATATAATTACAAGCTTTTTATATTTATACTTTCTATTTTATTTTATTTCTGCACAGTTCGTATATATCTTGTAATTTATTTTGTTGTTATTTCCCGAGAAAATATAAATGTCATTAAAAGCATTTCAAGTTAATATATCGTGAAATTTGTTGACCTTTTATTTTTATCTCTCGAATATTTCTCAAATTCTTAGTTAAATATGGCTTTCGTATATCGCAGTGAACTCGAAATGTCTTTATCAAAGCTTTTAAAAGTATCGCGAAGATCCGGTTAATATTTCAAAAATATAATTTTTCGCAAAGAGAGAGAGAGAGAAAGAGAGAGTGTGGTGCTGTGCTTTTTAAGTCGATTATTTTAATTAGGTTATCGATCGAAATATATTGACTCTTCCGTTGTTTTTAATGGATTATCTTATCGAAAATTTTTCGCCGCAGATAACTCGGTGACCACCGAGCTAAATCGGAGGCAAACGCGAATCTATGACGCAACGATGTAGAATCCGTCAGATATCCGACGTCACCCTATTATTTTCAATCTCTCGACATACTATCCGTCGAAGCGTTTGACCTATCCCCCAAGATATTTCCAAATGGGTGAACTGCGGATCGATAAGAGGCTTCAGAGGATTGGAAAAAGGCTCCGAGACGATGGGGCTAAAAAAAGGAGAGGCGGAAAAATCACGGGTAAATTGAGATAAAGGGTAATCGACTGCTTTGCCTGCCCCGTAACAAGTATAGGTACATGAACTGTTATGTATACCAGGCTGCTCGATACCGTATATATAATTAAAGCAATTATATATTTCGATCAATTAAATTATTAATAGATTAATTAAGGTGGCCTATTAATTCATTTACGGCGACTCATTAAACCCGACGTGGTAAAACTCGAAAATACCGACGTGCAAAGGAATCGCTTAACGCTTTAAACATACTTGGATAGGAAACGGAGCATGAACGCGAGATTGTGCGTTGCACGGCGTAGCTATCTCCAGATCCTCTCAAAGACCCGGAATTCACTCAAATCCTGTTACTCCTCTTTTCAATTTTCTTCCCTCCGCAGTTGAATATCGCGAATGCACATTCGCGACATATTAAACTATATTTTATCTCGAATACTTTTTTAATTTTTTTTCAACTATAGGTATATCTCATTTCTCTCGCCCATATGTTTACTCCAAGATTCGCCTGTCACGCTTTTTATAAAAGTACAAGACCATCTCCTCGTATCAGTAACACATAAATTTAAGTGCGGTGGTAATCAACAACGTTTTCGAAGTCTCGCTGTAGATTTGCGATAACAAGTATCGAGCTTCGCAAATCTAGCGCCACTATTTCTTGCTTTAATGTGCGTTCGCCAACTTGCACAGACAGGATGAAGCTATTAATTATGCCACAACTGAGGTTGAGGTTGATGATACGAGTAAACCGAGCTCTCAAGTGACGATATTGCAGCGCAATATACTTATGTTATCCGTATGTAGCAAATGCATCACTACATGCATAGCGTATCTAAACAACTTTAATTTAAAAACTGTCAAGAGCACGTAATAAATTTCGGTTCGGTAAAGAAAAAGTTTGATATTAAAAGTGTTTGAAAAGATTACAATGTGAACTATCATTAATAATTTTTTTAATAATGACGACGCTGCACAGGAATTTCTGTCAACCAAATTATTATAAATCGAGATTACGGTGACGCTTTTCTTATAATTTTCGGAAAGAAACATCTCGGAAGAAAACACGAATAGGAGACACGACAGAGTTACAGAGAACTCTGTGTAGGTCAACTCAAAATAAATCCAACACTCATCGTTTTAACCACATCTATTCGAGACACATAAATCTTTCATCATTAGTCTTAGCAAACGCACGGTATCATTAGTCGAGCGCAAGAGCTGCTTTGCTTAAGTTAACAACTAAAGATACCGAGACTCTTTAAAATAAACGAACCATAAATGATAATAAATTAAAGAGCTATAATTTTAGAGCCGTTCTATAAAATAATGTTCTCTTGTATAATAAACATTTAGAAAATTACATGGACAGAATTTTCTCTTAGAATTTACCCTGAAAATCATAGTAATCGTAGGACAATATATAGAAAATTTTTATAAGTTTCTCTGATTAATATTTACCACAATAAAAAATATGAATACGTACATAGTAAAATTAATCGAACATATTTTATATCTTATTGTGGTAAATATTAATATTTTTATTATAGTAAATATTAATCAGAGAAACTCTTATAAAATTCTTCCAATATTATATTGTCCCACGATTACAATGATTTTCAGAATAAATTCTAAGAGAAAATTCCATCTGTATAGAAGAATATTTTTTTATCATTTATCATATATCAAAATGATTAGCGCTTCGATGCACACATTTATATTATCTAATTTACTGCAAATTGTTCAAGGAGTCCATAGAATCTGCGGGCGGTTAAAATAACTCGCAAAAATTCCTGATGGACGAAAACTTTTCTCGCACGGACGTGTGGGTGTTCGGATGTTCGATCGAGCTTTGCGCGCTACGTCATGACCGAGATGCACAAGGACGAGACTGCAGTTGCAGCCTGCGCGACCATGTATCGCCGAGCGAGCAGCGGCAGGAAGTAGTGCGAGCGCATTATGATAATTATCATCCGCTCGCTGGAGCAGAAGCATGAGGCATCCGACGTCCTACTTGCGCACGATTAAAAAGTACCTTTAATTTGTTGCATTCTTTATTCCAACAAATACAATATTTAATCCGTTAAAAAAATATAAATTTTAATCTTCCTGAAGAAATTGAACTCTTTTTTCCGCAAATTCAAGACAGAACAGACAATTTATTTTTTTAAGAATTAAGATAGAATAAAAAATTTGTAAAAAACTACGCAAACCGGGAATTTCGTATAAAAATGAATTTATGTACAACTAACGTTTTTAACAATCGAGCAATTATATTGCAAAATATAATGACCGCGGTTAAATAATGTGTAAAATTTAAATGAAAAATTTTTAAATTGCATCGCGTTTCAACGCTAAATTTCCAAGTCATACTCGAAAGATTGCTTTTTCGCGTATGTTAGAACGAACTAATTAATGCCCGAGGAAGTAGCTCTACGAGCTTAATCTCATATACCGAAATCTGCCTCATAACCGAAGCTTGCAACCACGGAACGATATGAAACGTGACCGTGTTGAGTGACTTTCGAGAGCTGCGAAGTGCATCGATGCAGTATGTTGGCATAAAGCACAGCTGATGGTCGATGTGAGATAGCATGAATTTAACGTAAAACCACCATATCCCTCGAGATAGCTGAATTTATTGATAGCGATGGTTCTATAACTAGCGAAAATTCTATATCACATTGCAATCTTAGAGCGTTTAACTTAATACACGTGAGTGCAATGCTAAAAATTCATTAGCCTTACATTTTAATTAAAATATTGAATATATAGAGAGATGCAATAAGATTAAAAGCATTTCTTACATACAATTTACTGCGTAATACCTTTTGTTTCAACAACTGAAAGTACACAATAAAGCGACATCGATCTTCTTACTTTACAAC